CCGATATATTTTCATGAATTTGCTGAAGGACTCTCTTTGCCCACTACTACCCAAATTCAATGCGATCAGCATAGCACAGTGAACTATGCTAGCAAATTCCCTACCGCACACTCCCAAGCCGATATACGCAGAACTCTTGCGCCCTCTGCACTACCTGTTGGCTATTTCTGTGCAGCCTGTTGAGACCAGATCATTGTAACTTAACATGAAGCATGAATTCTATATCGTTATCCTGAAATTACACCACTTTTAAATGGTTTTATCCCAGAAAATACTCCATCTTGTTTTATTTGGCACATCTCTAGATTGTGAATCTGACAAAAATATTTGCAGCTTTCTCAGCTAAGTGGTCTGCTGCCATTTCTGAAATTTTTCATGTCACTACAGCTGAAACCCCGATTAAATTTGAGCAAGTAAGATAAAGCCAACACACGTAAACTGAGGAGTGACCCTAGCCCTGCATGTTTTCCCTGGTCTGTGAAACTGTAATGCAAAGTTTTCAAGTAAGAAAAAAACATAGGAACACTTAGGCAGTAATAAAAGCTAAACTAGGAAAAATATAAGCTAGAAAAATGTCTGGAGAAGACGTCAACCCACAAAGACTTTTATAACCTTAACACACAGAAAACTTATCTGAGAACATGGCAACTTTCTTCTGCTTCTAGAACTTTACAAAGCACAGCTGTGAAGGCCAGAACAGCCACATGCTGGCAAAGCAGCAGACGTAACAAGGCAACAAATTCCACTGTAAACACCAGCGTTTCAAGATAACAGTATTCCTTGCCCTGCAGTGGCCCAGAGATGTTGCAATCACAAACCAAGCTGTTCTTGTGAGCAGCTTCATACACGAAAAAAGCAAAAGTTCCAGAAACTTGTACAACTAACTTGTATACTCATGTCAATAATTAATGGTGCCTAGGATAAGATATACAGGCACGATGCCCCTGCATCCGTTGTTGCTAGGACAGCAGACACCAGTAACTGGACCAAACTGCTGTGGTGGTGTTTTGTTTTGTTTTGTTTTTTTAATAGACAGCCAAGGGGAAAGCCCTGCGGAGGCTCTCCGGAGATTTCTGCGCTTCTGAAGCAGTACTACGGGGCCTCTGCCGGAGACTCTGCACGCACGGCTCCGACCCTGCCCAGCTGAGCCCTCAGCCAGGCCCGCCCCGGCGGGGAG